AGTTGGTCCACACAAAATATTCACATTTCGTGGTTATTGACAAAACAATCTAAAATGTTAATCCTTATAAAAAACAATAATCCCCTAAAAAAATTTCTTATTTTGATTATAACTTCATAATTGTTAATTTTAAAAGAACACTTCATGTAGATACAAAATAGGCAAACAATATTTACCTCTTTTTTATGACCAAAATTTTATGATAATCACCAATAAATTGGGATTGTTCAGTATATATTTCATTTTTATACCCTACACCACATAGTGGTAAGGGTATTATGTCTTTGTGCATTTGTTTGTAACATGGAGAAGGAAACGAGATAGACTCATAGTTACTTTTGAGAACCTTCATAGAATCACTTTCTGAGTCGATTTATGCATGTCAGTCCGTCTGTCCGTCCGTCCGTCTGTCCATGTATTCTTGTGAACAAAATGCAGGTCGCATTTATTATCCGATTGAGATGAAATTTTCCAAACAATATTTTTTTGGCCCAAGGACGAACCCTATTGAAATTGGTGAGAATCGGATCAAATTTAGATATAGCTCCCATATATATCTTCATCCGATTTCGGGTTAAATGTGCACCAAATGTCCACTATCAGTCCAAATTACCTGAATTTTTTCACACCCAACCGAGTTCGGCCTAGAAGTAAGTACATCAAATTTGGAGAAAATCGGTTCAGAAACAGCTATAGCTCCCATATATATGTTTCATCCGATTTGGTGTTTAAGCCTCTCACATTCGTAATATGCACTCCATAAGAATGATATTTGGTATCAGATATAAGATATAGCCCAGAAATAGCTGTTTGTAATTTTATCGAAATCGGTTCAGATTTGGATATAGCTCCCATATATATCTTCATCCGATTTCGGGTTAATTGTGCACCAAATGGCCGATATAAGTCCAAATGGACTGAATTTTAGTACATCGGACCAAATTCAGCCTAGAAGCAAGTATGTCAAATTTAGTGAAAATCGGTTCAGATATAGATATAGCAACCATATATATGTTTCATACGATTTAGTGTTTTAGTCCCTTACATTCGTAATATTCACTCCACAACCGTGATATTTGGTACCAGGTATTAGATGGAGCACAGGAATAGCTGTTTTAAATTTTATCGAAATCGGTTCAGATTTGGATATAGCTCCCATATATATCTTCATCCGATTTCGGGTGATTGACCACCAAATGGCCGTAATAGCATCAATTTTGGCAAATCCGACCGAAACCAGCTTAGAAGCAAGTACACCAATTTTAGTAAAAATCGGTTCAGATATAGCTATAGCTCAGATATAGCTATATATCTTTCATCCGATTTGGTCTTTAAGTCCCTCACATTCGTAATATGCACTCCACAGGAATGATATTTGGTACCAGATATCAGATAAAGCCCAAAAATAGTTGATTTTAATTTTATTAAAATCTGTTCCGATTTGGATATGCCTCCCATATATATCTTCATCCGATTTCGTGTTAATTGTGCATCAAATGGCCAGTATCAGCCCAAATGGCATGAATTTTCGTACATAAGACCGAATTCAGTCTAGAAGCTAATACGTCAAATTTGGAGAAACCCGGTTCAGAGATAGCTATAGTTCGTAAAATGCACGATAGAATTAGATAGATTTTGATTTTGTACCAAATATCTTATAGAGCTCTGAAAAGCCCTGTATAAACTTTTTACGAGAGCTCTACTAAATATGCATAGTGGTGTAGGGTATCATATAGTCGGCCCCGCCCGACTTTTGAGCTTTCCTTACTGGTTTCTATTGATGTTATTTAACTCAATTTTACATTTCCGCCGTGTTTGTTACTTCAAAATTATGGCACACACAAAAACACACCCTCACCGTCGAAAGTAACACACACACACTCTCTCAATTTAAGCACACGTACACAAATGACATACAATTTGACGATGACACGGTTCGATGTCATCGTTGACACCCTGAATTTATGGAGAACACTATGGAAATATTCGAGTCAGCCATACCACGATCGAACCTTAGACAATGGCACACATTAACCCTTTCAGTGTTTTTGTCAAATATATTTGACATTTAAAAGTACTCTCTTTCTTTGCCATTTTTTGTTTTTCTTACAAACCGTTATTTTTGATATTTTTTAATAACAGACACGTTCGCTATTTAAAAATATTGCAGTTCTATTCTATTAGTTTCGTTTTCGAATTTCTGAGCACATTTTAGTAAATTAGTACGGAATTTCAGATTTTTATCTCGACAAAAATTTTCATTGACACTGAAAGGGTTAAAGGGCTGCAAATGTCACAATTTTCTCTATTTATGCCATGGAGAGAAAACGCTCGTCATGTTGTGCCCTGTTTGATCAAACGCATAACAGTACGTGACATCCGACCAAATGCTCGATGTCTCGTCATGTCGGTCACACTCAAACCCATCGTCATAACATGTAATGACCAATAAAAGGGAATGTTGAATAGTGTGTCATACAAAAATGTTCTATCAAAAAAACAACAACAATTATGAAACAATTGCCAACGAAAAAGACACATACGTGATGAAGGCAAAGCGCACTCGCTACCTGCTTTTCTGATATGTGAAAAAATGAATTTTTATACCCTACAACACAATGTGTTGGGGGTATTATAAGTTTGATTGGGCCAGAATTTATGTAACACCTCGAAATATTGGTTTCCCATATAGGAAAGTATATATGGATCTTCCTAGCTCGCCGAGCTGAGTCGATCTAGCTATGTATGTCCGTCCGTCCGTCTGTCCATGTTAATTTGTAATCACGCTACAGGTTGCAATTATGGCCCGATCCTTACAAAATTTTGCACGAAGGTGGGGAAAGGGTCAGAATAGAAGCCTATTTCTTATGGAGATGATCGCCAAATGTTTAGGGGTTGAAATGGACCAAATACTGAAAAATATCGGATTTTACACTAGCTATACAGGTTGCAATTATAGACCAATCGACGCGGTAGCTAGAGTTTAGAGCGGGGAAGAAGCCTACCAATTTGGGTGGTCATCGGATAATATTTAGCGGGTAAAATATACCATATCTTTTGTGCTAAAAAAATTCAAGATTTTTCATTAAACCGCGAATATTTTAAATCCCGGCGAAATCACAAAGCCATGACAAGGTTACTTCTGATCTTTACATTGATGTTAACATCCAACAAAACGGATATATAGCAAAATATGTGCGATATATATGTTTATCAAAGAAGGTTTGCTTGAAAAATCTCTTATATGTCGAGAACGGCTTAACTAATTTCGACAGTTCTCATTAATTCAGAATCGCCTCTTGGCAGGAAAGAAAAAACGTCTAAAAAATCGCATAAAAATATCTCTCTAAAGATGAAAATATTGATTTTCTAACATTTTCTCATATTTTTTCAATTTTGTCACATTTTTGGCATATTTTCATTTTGAATTAAACATTTGGTAACATTTCTACAGCTAACAAAACTAAGTAGTTAGGATATCAGGATATCATATACAGATCGCATTTATGGCCCGATCCATACGAAATTTTGCATGGGGATAAGATGAGGGTCAAAATAGAAGCCTACTCTTTTTGGAGATGATCGCCATATATTTAGAGGTTGAAATGGACCAAAAAGTGCAAAATTGTCTGCAGGTCGTAATTATCGCCCGATCCTCACGCACATTTGAATGGGGGTTACCGGACATTGCAAAAGCCAAGCAGTTTTAGATGGCCATCCAAAAATATTCAATGTGCGAAATAGTTTGCCAATTTTTGTAGACTAAATACGAAAATGTCCATTCCAGTGACTTTTTGGAGAATTCACAAATACAGGAAAGACGCAATACTGACTATTTCGTTAACGCTGATTTCGTTGAAGAATATAGTCAAATGTCTGTATCTCATATAGATGCGTTTCAGTCAAAAACCAATAATAAATGTTAATCTTTTGCCACTTCTGAGAGATTATAGGTCTTTGGGAAATATTGGTTCCAGATCTAGGAAGACCATTTACGTGCAACATCTACCAATAAATTGGAAATGAGCAAATTAGTTAAAGTTGCTATTATTCGAAAATTAGAGAACGAATCCTGATGGTTTTCTTTTATTATTTGTCACAATATCTTGTGGAATTCTTTCGAGTATCTCACCTATATAAACTGTATCATTTATTATAGTGTTGTAGGGTATACAACGGTCGGCCCCGCTCGACTGTAGCCTTTGCTTACTTGTTTATAATAAAGAATTTCTTGGCGAATACTAATACAATAAAACGTAAATCGGTCGAAGTTTTATATGGGAGCTATATCCAAATCTGAACCGATCTCGATAAAATTTGGCGTACTTATTTTGAGGCCTAATTTGGTTGCATGTGCAAAATTTCATACTATTCGGGCTGAAAGTACACATTTTGTGCACAATAAAAATAAAATCGGACGAAGATATATATGGGAGCTATATCTAAATTTTGACCCATTATTTCCAATTTCAATAGGGTTCGTCCTTGGGCCAAACAAATGATTTGTGCAAAATTTCATCTGGATAGGACAATAAATGCGAACTGTACTTTGTTTACAAAAATTCATGGACATACGGACGGACGGATGAACGGACATGCATAAATCGACTAGAATGTGATTCTATGCAGATCATCAAAAGAAACTATGGGTCTATCTCGTTTCCTTTTGCCTGTTACAAACAAATGCACAAAGACATAATACCCTGACCACCTTGTGGTGTAGGGTATAAATAGGCAAACAATTATGACCAAAATTTTATGATAATCACCAATAAATTGGGATTGTTCAGTATATATTTAATTTTTTCTTTTCATTTGTTGATGTCTATGCACATTCTGTTATTAAACTCAATTTTATATTTACGCGGTGTTTGTTACTTCAAAATTACAGCACACACAAAAACACACCCTCACCGTCGAAAGTAACACACACACACTCTCTCAATTTAAGCACACGTACACAAATGACGCACAATTTGACGATGACACCATGCAAATATTCGAGTCAGCCATGCCACGATCGAACCTTAAAGTAAGGTCACATTGAGCAAATATTTGACACAAATATGTTTTATCATATTTTCCCAAAAAAATGTTGTTTTCATACAGAGTTGATTTTGTGTTCACATTGCTCACATTTATTTGACAAATTTTGTTTGTTCAAACACCCATCAAATAGTGGCAAATAAAGCAATGACAAAACAGGTTTGACGTGCGGTCACATTTGAAAAATATATTTGATTAAAAAGCAGTTTGATCAAACTATCAAAAAACAAAAAATTGTTTGGTCGAAATATTTAAAAGAAGCTATGCAGCAAGAATAGGCGCTTTTTATTTTATGTTGTGGTGCAGCATCATATATTGCTGTCAAAGAGGACGAATCCATGAAAAATAGAAAAAAAAAGACCATGGGTTCGAGAATGGTTGCGTCAAAGAAAGGAGGAAGGATGTTGCGTCAAATTGCTGACTCAACTGCGGGCTGAAACACCATCGCTCTATAAAAATTTCTTGAGGATGAACGCGGCAGATTTTGACAATTTGGTGAGTTTGCGTATAATTGAGATGAAATCTATAATGTTTCTATCATGGACTCCTTAATAGCTTAAATTAACTGCACCACTTTTAACCAAGAAGACGACACAATTACGTGAGCCGATTTCAGCTTCAGAACGGTTAATGGTTACACTGCGATACTTGGCAACAGGCGAGAGTTTCTGTTCTCTGCAATTCATATTCCGTATACCTCACAACACTATTTCAACTATCCTTCCAGAGGTTTGCGATGCTATTTATAAGGTTCTACAGCCTGATTATTTAAAGGTAAACTATTAACTACAGCGTAAGTTCGGTCTGGCCGAACTTACAAACGGAATTACAAAGTTAATATAGCTTCCATAGTATAATTGATAAATTTGTATTGCTTATACAGACCCCATCAACGGAAACAGAATGGCTAGCAGTATCGGAAAAATTTTATGAGAAGTGGACGGCAAACATGTCGTTATGACAGCGCCTTCTCATTCCGGAAGCATTTACTTCAACTATAAAGGCAAGTTTATTACTTTACCTATATTGTAATCAATTATTATTATTTTAATTTGTTATAGGAACTCACAGCATTGTACTCATGGCTATTGCAGATGCTTCCTACAAATTTTTATATATTGATGTTGGGTCCAATGGAAGAATATCAGATGGTGGAGTTTTCCGAAAAACGTAATTTAATAAAGGTCTGGTTAACGAAAAACTAAATTTACCACCACCAGAACCATTGCCAGGCAGAACAGTTTCAGTTCCTTATGTTCTTGTTGCGGATGATGCATTCGCTATGACACCCAATATATTAAAACCTTTCAGTGTCCGCAATATGAATGCAATTCAGAGAATTTTTAACTATCGTTTGTCTAGAGCTAGACGAGTTATAGAAAACGCATTTGGAATTCTGTCTGCCCATTTTCGTGTACTACGAACCCCAATAATGGTTGATCCACCAAAAGCAATAAAAATTACTACTGCCTGTTGTGTGTTGCATAACTACCTGATGTGCCGCAATAATTCGATATACTTCAACCCAAATCTAGTGGACCACTATACACAAGATGGAACACTAGTACTAGGTGAATGGCGCAGTGAATGGGCCTCTGATAGTCTTATAAATCTACAACCTCATCGGTCTTATATTGCACCTAATTGTTCTACTGTAAGGGACGAGTTTTCCCAATATTTTGTAGAAGAAGGCGAAGTTCCCTTCCAATACAAACATATATAAAAGTTTAAATAAAATGATATAAAACAATTTAATTGTAAAGATTTTATTTACAAGCTTTTAAAACAAATGAGATCCATAAAACAGAAAAATTAAAAAAAATTCATTAATTATTTTAAAAATTAATTAAGTGATAAGTCAGTCATATAATAAAAAGAAAATAGGGATGTTTTAACACTCAAATAAATGATTGCTTCTCTCCTCTTCCAAACATTGTAAAAAAACAATGTAACTTTATTTCTAACTGAAGCAGATCCACTGTCACTGAGTGTCTTCAGCTCACTTAGGAGATAGTTTGCGAATGACGTGTTGGGATCCAATCTGTTTTGGTTGCGTTCTTTCATTGCAGCAACTGCCTCCCGCATAGTCTCCGCAATTTGTGTTGTTGCAGATTGCACAGTTGGAGCCTGTAACCGCCGTGGTGTTGATGTTGGTGGTGGCGTTGGCAAAGATGGCGATGCACAAACATCAAAATCTGTAGAAATATTGAATTGAAATATTAACAAGGTAGAGATTTTAATATATATATATACAAATACGGAGCAAGGCGAGCGTAGGGGCTAAGCTCGGATTGACCTGAACAAAATGGTTATTATTTGAAAGCTTTTGGAATTACCTATCCAAAAAGTGGTCGGGGATGCTGGAACCGGTTCCGGAGTAATACAAGGAAAATTGTATTTTAGTACCATTACTTTTAGAAAATTCTCTGAACACTCGATAATGGACTCCATATGGGGTATAAAAATGTCCATTCTTCATTATACTATACTAATGCATAATGTAGTATGGACATCTTTATACCCCATATGGAGTCCATTTTCAAGTTTTCAGAGAATTTTCAAAAAGTAATGGTACTAAAATACAATTTTCCTTGTATTACTCCGGAACCGGTTCCAGCATCCCCGACCACTTTTTGGATAGGTAATTCCAAAAGCTTTCAAATAATAACCATTTTGTTCAGGTCAATCCGAGCTTAGCCCCTACGCTCGCCTTGTTCCGTATTTGTATATATATATTAAAATCTCTACCTTGTTAATATTTCAATTCAATATTTCTACAGCTTTTGATGTTTGTGCATCGCCATCTTTGCCAACGCCACCACCAACATCAACACCACGGCGGTTACAGGCTCCAACTGTGCAATCTGCAACAACACAAATTGCGGACACTATGCGGGAGGCAGTTGCTGCAATGAAAGAACGCAACCGAAACAGCTTGGATCCCAACACGTCATTCGCAAACTATCTCCTAAGTGAGCTGAAGACACTCAGTGACAGTGGATCTGCTTCAGTTAGAAATAAAGTTACATTGTTTTTTTTACAATGTTTGGAAGAGGAGAGAAGCAATCATTTATTTGAGTGTTAAAACATCCCTATTTTCTTTTTATTATATGACTGACTTATCACTTAATTAATTTTTAAAATAATTAATGAATTTTTTTAATTTTTCTGTTTTATGGATCTCATTTGTTTTAAAAGCTTGTAAATAAAATCTTTACAATTAAATTGTTTTATATCATTTTATTTAAACTTTTATATATGTTTGTATTGGAAGGGAACTTCGCCTTCTTCTACAAAATATTGGGAAAACTCGTCCCTTACAGTAGAACAATTAGGTGCAATATAAGACCGATGAGGTTGTAGATTTATAAGACTATCAGAGGCCCGTTCACTGCGCCATTCACCTAGTACTAGTGTTCCATCTTGTGTATAGTGGTCCACTAGATTTGGGTTGAAGTATATCGAATTATTGCGGCACATCAGGTAGTTATGCAACACACAACAGGCAGTAGTAATTTTTATTGCTTTTGGTGGATCAACCTTTATTGGGGTTCGTAGTACACGAAAACGGGCAGACAGAATTCCAAATGCGTTTTCTATAACTCGTCTAGCTCTAGACAAACGATAGTTAAAAATTCTCTGAATTGCATTCATATTGCGGACACTGAAAGGTTTTAATATATTGGGTGTCATAGCGAATGCATCATCCGCAACAAGAACATAAGGAACTGAAACTGTTCTGCCTGGCAATGGTTCTGGTGGTGGTAAATTTAGTTTTTCGTTAACCAGACCTTTATTAAATGGCGTTTTTCGGAAAACTCCACCATCTGATATTCTTCCATTGGACCCAACATCAATATATAAAAATTTGTAGGAAGCATCTGCAATAGCCATGAGTACAATGCTGTGAGTTCCTATAACAAATTAAAATAATAATAATTGATTACAATATAGGTAAAGTAATAAACTTGCCTTTATAGTTGAAGTAAATGCTTCCGGAATGAGAAGGCGCTGTCATAACGACATGTTTGCCGTCTATAGACCCAATACAGTTTGGGAAATTCCACTTCTCATAAAATTTTTCCGATACTGCTAGCCATTCTGTTTCCGTTGATGGGGTCTGTATAAGCAATACAAATTTATCAATTATACTATGGAAGCTATATTAACTTTGTAATTCCGTTTGTAAGTTCGGCCAGACCGTAGTTAATAGTTTACCTTTAAATAATCAGGCTGTAGAACCTTATAAATAGCATCGCAAACCTCTGGAATGATAGTTGAAATAGTGTTGTGAGGTATACGGAATATGAATTGCAGAGAACGGAAACTCTCGCCTGTTGCCAAGTATCGCAGTGTAACCATTAACCGTTCTGAAGCTGAAATCGGCTCACGTAATTGTGTCGTCTTCTTGGTTAAAAGTGGTGCAGTTAATTTAAGCTATTAAGGAGTCCATGATAGAAACATTATAGATTTCATCTCAATTATACGCAAACTCACCAAATTGTCAAAATCTGCCGCGTTCATCCTCAAGAAATTTTTATAGAGCGATGGTGTTTCAGCCCGCAGTTGAGTCAGCAATTTGACGCAACATCCTTCCTCCTTTCTTTGACGCAACCATTCTCGAACCCATGGTCTTTTTTTTCTATTTTTCATGGATTCGTCCTCTTTGACAGCAATATATGATGCTGCACCACAACATAAAATAAAAAGCGCCTATTCCTGCTGCATAGCTTCTTTTAAATATTTCGACCAAACAATTTTTTGTTTTTTGATAGTTTGATCAAACTGCTTTTTAATCAAATATATTTTTCAAATGTGACCGCACGTCAAACCTGTTTTGTCATTGCTTTATTTGCCACTATTTGATGGGTGTTTGAACAAACAAAATTTGTCAAATAAATGTGAGCAATGTGAACACAAAATCAACTCTGTATGAAAACAACATTTTTTTGGAAAAATATGATAAAACATATTTGTGTCAAATATTTGCTCAATGTGACCTTACCTTTAGACAATGGCACACATGAATCAAAATGGGGGATGTTGTTGGTTGTCATTGCTTATCAAATACATAGCGCATGATTGAGTAGACAAAGTCAGTGTGTCGAAAAAAGCATAATTCATACAATTCGTCTTGTGCAGGCCTTTAGCACACATGAATCAAAATGGGGGATGTTGTTGGTTGTCATTGCCTATCAAATACATAGCGCATGATTGAATAGACAAAGTCAGTGTGTCGAAAAAAGCATAATTCATACAATTCTTCTTGTGCAGGCCTTTAATCTACAATCAATTATAATTTCCTATTTTGCAATGTAGGTATTATATTGCTTCTTGCTCTCTTACCATTATAATCAGCAATTTGCCTCGATTCCATTAACAATGCCGGCAAATAGTCCATTAGTACAAATGGTAGATTGTGCGGCAAATTTGAACAGGTTTTTGTAGCCCATTATTAAAAAAAATTCTCTATCTTCATATGCCGTTGTTTTTTTCGTGACCCTTTAAAAAAGTTAATTGATTAGTTAATGCAAGCCAAAATCAAATATCGACTTTCGCAAAAACTAAAATTATTACACGTGACAGTTTAAAATTAATGTTTCAACAGAGTGGGAAACCGACCAAAGTGGAATTGGACCATCCTCCGACCTCCGATCAAATTTGGCAACACTTATTTGGTAGTCTGCTTGAGTGGAAGGGAAACCTTAAAATTGGCTTCTAAATTTCGATTACTCGAAAGTCGACTTACATGTCCCTAAACTCCGCATCTGTCAAAAACGCGCGAGGATAGATTTACCGGATATTTCTGTTTTTACCAACAATTTCATACATCGAAGTTGCAGTTTCTTATTTATTTGCTGTTGATTTTTGTTTGAAAGTAATAATATGAGTACGCATATTCAATTGGAGCTCCTTGATGTAGCAGGAAACATGTTTGAAAAATATGATTCCATAGATTTGTCTACACCTGGACTTTTAGAAGTAAGGTTTTTGACTTTGCATGTTTTTTGTTTTTTGTTTATTCGTATTTTTTACAGATTACTGGAATTAATCAGCATGTAATGGCTACCGCAAGTGGTCTGAATGATTACGATTACCAAAATCTTTCAAATCTTACGATGGGACACAAACAAATAAACCAGATACAAACCATAAATAAAATTCCAATTCCCCCAGAAATTCTGGAGCATTTTAAACGTGCGTAGCCATTTTATTAAGATAAAATATAAACTCTTACATATCCTTTTCGACGCCTCGTTTTAGATATTAAATGTCACTGCATGATGGGTTTGTTTCCGGAAATTGGAAGGGCATGGCTAACTATTGATTCTGAGATATATGTATATAAGGAGATGCAATATTTGAACTTAATAATAAATATATTCTATAATTATAGATTTGGACATACGAACAAAGTCGCGATGTTGCCTATTATGATGGTCTCAGTCATTTAATTGTTAGCGTTGGTTTGGTTAAGCCCAAGGCAGGAGTATTTATCAATGATGTGAAATATCTCTTAATTTTGACAACGCCTATAGAAATAATAGTCCTTGGTAAGTTACAGTTTACATATTAATGAATTATGTCTCTTTAAGTCCGAATACAACCCATATTGGTTAATAGATTCTCAATACAATATCCCTTGTGGACATTTTTCAGGAGGATGTTAAATTTTTATTAGTTGTCACTCCTCAGATTACACTGCAATTTTTTCTCGAGCAATCTATGCTTTCCGAGATATATGTATAAAGTTTTTGTTCGTTTATGTTTCAAGTTACATTATGTGTATCATAGTAAAATAATGTATTCTGCTTTCATCAGCCATCCACATCAAAAAAGCTTGATGAGTCGCAGAACCGATGGCGAAACGCCTCGCGTGGCACCATCTGTTGGATTTTTATCTATCAATCTTGTTGGCGTAACAGTGGCATGTCAGATATTCGGAAAGGGACAAAAGCGCTAAATATAAAGTTTATAAAAACGAAATTTAAAACAAATACGTTTGAGCCAAGTGCTCTCTAACACAGTCTAAATTTAATTTAAAACGATACGTTTTCATATAAATGACTTTACCCACTGGAGTTGGATTAAATGTGTAAAATCTATTATATTTACTTCAAATAAATCCTCTTAAAGTAGGTTAACCCTACAGAAAGTTCTAATGTAAACATGGCATACGGTTAAGGGTTAGTTTATTAAGCCTTTTAAAACATGGCATAAAACAAAGCCATCCTACATACATACATGTATGTATGAGGTCTAGCGATATAAGATAGAGTCCCTACATCATGAAGCCTATCAAGCGGGTCTGAATAGCATTCATACTGTTGTAGTCGCAGAGGTAGTTAATAATTACAGTATGAATGCCATCCTCGGAGTCCACACCCATTCATTGCAGCTGAAGAACGTCGTCTGCCTAGGCAAACCCGGGTAGTATTGGGCACGAATTGACGAAGATGTGTGGATAGTCTGCCCAGCGTGCGATACATGCCCGCACAATACGCTGCATCTGTTTAATTATCCCGAGAAATCTACCCAACTCCGTCCAGAGAATCTCTGGCTACAGCCCATAAAGGTGGCAGTATTCCTAAACCTGAACATTGAGGAAAAGCCGGATTAATCAGAACACAAACAACGGAGCATGTTAACACTGCTACCAAAATAACAACTAATCTCACGTTATTGTTGTATTAAGTAACACTATTTGTTGCAACTTTTTGCAACTATTAATATTTGAAAATAATATTAAATTATGTTAACTACTCTTCATTAAAGAAGTGGTGGCAAACAATATCTTTGGGAAACCGCTCGATGTAATGTCAATCCTGTTTTTATGACCCGCGTGACTTTCTCATTTATAAGGTGCAGTGTAGGCCTCACTTCCCACCCCTGCCGGCCTAGTGACCTCCCTCTTCGTAGGGGGATTAAGTAGAAATTGAAAACCAGCTACAAAATCTACTTCATCAGCTAGTCTGTTAAATAATAAAACATGCTTATTTTAATCTTTTAAAAATAAAATCATTCTAGTTTTAATAACTTCTAGGCTCATACTAAAATATACACACACATTTTATTAAGAGGTTCACCCATTAAATAATTTGTGCGCTGAAAATTGGTACATAATAATTGGTAGAATATACAAGATCACAACAGAAGATGAAGAACATTAATGTAATATATTACCATTTAATATATTTAGTATTATAATGGACTTCAACAAAATACGTCTGCGTTTTAGTGTAGGCAATCTACTTAATTTTAGCCTGTAGGCAATCTACTTATTTATACTAGATAAGAAGGCAAAACAAAATTATTGTTCCAATGTAAACCTCTTAAGGGCAATAACAGAAATTGTTTTTGCACTGATTCTATTTTATCTGAGTATATTGCATATAGAGAATTCCATACAACAAAATCATATTCTAATATAGGTACGAGTACGTCTCTTGTTAGTATGGATTGGAAACTATTTTGGCTCATCGTTTTAAATAACCTAGAATACCATTGAATACTGGTGCAAGTTTTTTATTGTTAAACTGCGAGGCTGGTGTTTTGTTTTTTTTTGTTTTGGGAATTTTTTACACCATTTATATGATAAAGAATTATTTGCAAAACAGATTCGATATTGTTTGCTTCGGATGACAAAGAAATTAGAGCTCAGAATCTGGCATTGAAAGCCATCTAAAACCACCAAGAATCAAAATAAAATCAGAATCTTTAACTTTTTTAGATTGAATATTAGAACAAGTTACAAACAATTTAAATTTGTCCAATTCAATGGAAACACTAATATGCTCTATATCGAGGAAACCATTTAGATCAATTAAATTAGCGGAAGATTTGGCATTAACTGAAATATGGACTCCACCGCTGTATTTACAAACACGATAACTTCTAAATGTTTGATATTTCGGACATAAAATTTCAATTCTTAATATAGATGTTCTCAAACAAGTATCGGGTTAGTGCTGATAGCAAAAAAGAAAATACTTCTTTACATCTTTTTGCAATGACAATGCAGATAAAGCTTATAAAACCCCAAAGGCAATATCCCTCAATTTTTTGATTTTATATAATAATTTATATAATCAGTCGTTGTTTCTGGTAAAACCTCGATGCAAATATCATTTTCATGGCAGGAGCCATAGCCTGTCTTTGGACAGGTTGGATTTTGCTGTTTGGGCAGTCTCAGGAGGAACACGAAATGTAGGATAGGATAATTCTTGAATGTAATATGTGGGTTGTGAAGTTTTCTTAATACTCATAACATTACTTACGCCCCTGTACATTACCGGGACTGATTGTGTCACAACACTGTCATACGATTGTTCACGTCTGACCCAAGTTGTATCAGTGATATTAACTAGAATATTTAGTTTTTTTCGAGCAGTCGACAATGATGGTGTCGGATATTTTTATGAATACACCACAGCTGTTTAGAAATAAGTATACTGCCTAAATGCATGCATATGCATATATTGTCGCGAATAACATTTGTATATGATACACCATTTGTATTATAAAAACTATAAATAATTTGCTATTAATCGCGTGTGTGCAGTTACGTAGTATTTGAAAACGCAAATGTAATTTCTAGTAGTTGGACGTTTAAATTCCGCAATTAAATTTTTAATTAATTAAAATAATTATTTTTTATACTTCGTATATTCTATTATCAACATGTATTTTTATGCTTAAATTTCATAATGCCATGTTTTGAAATCAAAATGCTGACAACAATGTTTTTCAGTTGATATTTTTCCTTGTTAGATTTTACAAAACACTTGCACGGTCAAATGAATGTTTCACCAAAAAAAGGAAAATGTTTGATCATAACATTTTCGACGTACTCTGTCGACGCTCTTGGCCACATAAGTAAAACAAATGTATTTATATGAATGTTATTTTGATAATACGGACGTACAAAAAATGTAGCATAGTGGGGAAGTTGAATATTTGTGAACTCAACGTCGAATTTCAGGTAAAGCTGTTTACTGGCAACTAATTTTGTTTTCCCAAAAACAGTTTTTTTGCATTTATTGTCAAACACTAGTGCGCGATAAAATTAATTTTGTTCAATAATTACGGGGAAATCCAGCAGACTATGAAAGAAGACCTAAAAAAGAAGAAGACATTTTTAGATTAAGATTGTCTTTGGCAATATCGCATATAATAATAGGAGGAATATTTTTATGGCGTGGTTTAATCGCAGCTTATATAAAAAGTAACTTTTGTCTTTAAACAAATTGAAGTTTTTTTGTGAATTTTTGGATATCGGTGAAATCTCAATAAACATTATAGACGTGCTTTGGAGCCATTGTTGAAGACATCTTTTTGCTGACATTTATTGAACATACCATAATACTATTGGATTTTATTGTTGCTGAATTTGTTGATGATAAAAAGCTCACAACATGTCATCGAATTAAAACTTCCTTTTTAAAATCGACTAGAAATGTTTATCACATAAGGGTGAACTCAACGCTATCAAAATAACTGTAGACCTTATTTTGGATGATGGAATTCAAAGGGCGATAATCCTAACCAATAGTAAAAATTCCTGTATACTCTCAAGAAATAACACAGCACTCGACAAAAGACAAATGTCAGTAATATAAATATTTCAAACATAAGTCACTTTACGTTCTTGTGGGTTGGTTGTGTCACTTCGTCCACCTTAGTCGTGAAGGATGCACGTGCACAAATATTTGAAGCCCTATGGGATGAATGTAAAAAAATAGTTATGATAACAGGACTGTATATGGTATCAGAGAATTGGACAAGTAATTAAACGAGGAGTAACTTCATAGATCCAGTAGAGTAGATGAGAAAGAAAGTACCTTCGAATATACTCTCACTCTGTCAGAAAAAGTTTCGTGTTTATTTTTCCTTCACAGCAATGTGTGAAGCTATGTATCAAATATTTTTTATATGCATAGGTGATCAAAAGATAAAAATAAAAATAGGTAAAAAACTTTTTAAGTTAAACGGTTTTATGTTAAACATACATTGCAATGTTTAAGATAAATGTATTAAAAACCAAAAAATAATAAAAAAGATTCAGTCGTGGGAATTATAAACATATGCATAGACTAGACTAAAATAAAACCGTGGGGCACGTCAATTGTCGACTTAATGTGCGATAGAAGAATCGTTTAATTCGCAGTTGGCCTGCGGGCGGTGAGGAAATTTCTTACTATTTTATTGCTTATGGAAATTCCAATAGTTATACAATCCATGTAAATAAAAGGGATGTTTCAACTAGTTTATCGTTGGACATTCACACTGCTGGGTGGCGAAGAATCGTTTCACTGCTCGTAGTTTGTCTTTAATCTTAATTATAGTGTAACATTGCAAAACAAACATTTTAATCAACGATTGTAGACAATTGACGTGCTCCACGGCTTTATCTGGCGAGGAATCGTTTCACTGCTCGTAGTTTGTCTTTAATCCTAATTATAGTGTAACATTACAAAACAAACATTTTAATCAACGATTGTAGACAATTGACGTGCCCCACGGCTTATTTTAGTCTAGTCTATGCATGTGTTTATAATTCCCACGACTGTATCTATTTTATTATTTTTTGGTTTTTAATACATTTATCTTAAACATTGCATTGTATGTTTAAAATAAAACCGTTTAACTTAAACATTGCATTGTATGTTTAACATAAAACCGTTTAATTTAAAAAGTTTTTTCCTATTTTTATTTTCAAGTTTTTTTTTACTTCGCATTCTGTTTAGTTCATTAAGTGCTTCATTATTGCAAGGTTTCTTGGCCGTTGGTCTATTGCAGTCCAACTCCTCTATACGTAGTCCCAGCAAAGATCTTGCTCTACTAAGAGCCATGTAGGCTTGACCTTCTTCAAACAGTTTCGCACCAAAGTATACGACTGCGTGATCCACAGTGCTGACCTTCATTTTATGTATGTAGAAGCCTATGATAGTATTAAAGGCAACATTGTTCTTTCAGCCGTCCCGTAATTGTACTTAGCTGAAAACTGTATGGTTTTCGGGGGTTTAAGATGTACTCCGTCTCTTGCGAAATCAATTCGGACGGAAGGTACATCTGTTGCATACATATTAGTTCGGCCAAGCGGTTTCGTTGATGTAGCATATAGCGCCATTTACTAAGTCCGTTGAAACGTCAATATTTGTTGGGTATAGCCTTAAAGCTTTGTCTATTGCAAACTCATCACTCGTGTCTTGAAGAAGTCTTTCCATTAAAATACTAAATTGTTGGGTTGGGGAATAAGAGTCTGGTCACCTTGCTGACGCATATTTTCCGTTAATTCACACAGCGTGAATAAACACCAGAGATGTGTAGCTTGTTGGGGATGTTCTGGCTTTTTGAAAACAGGTGTTCCTAATCGTTTTATAGGAGGCAGTTGTAAAAGATCACCAAAAAGTTATACGTTTACTCCTCCAAAAACCTAATTTTCACAGTCCTTAATCGATCCTCCATCATGCATAACAATTGATAAGACACCATGTATATCTCGTCGACAATTAAAAATTCTGTCTGATGCAATTATTGCCTCATTATTCGCAAATAGTTTCCGGACAGTGGTGACATACTTGTTATGCGACCGTCTTTCTGGATTCAGGTTGGATTAATAAAATACCTTAATTACAGATACAATTTCTAAATTTAAATCTTATTATTATACGCTATTTAGTGGCTGCGCCCATCTTAAATATTGAGGTTATATAGTGCACTGTATTCTTCTTGTCAAGCCCTTTTATTTGATACACATATTGGTGGGATTGATAAAAAAATGTTATCAGCCACTTGGTAGCGACCATCTTAGATTTCAGTTTTGCGAAATAAATTGTATTCTACTTGTTAAGACCTTTCATTTGATACCCATGTTGATGGGGTTAATAAAACATAGGTTATCCGCCATTTTGTAGAGACCGCCATCTTGGATTTTCATTTGATAATCATATTGATGGGATTGATAAAACCTACGTTATCCGCAATTTCGTAGCGGCCGCCATCTTGGATTTATAATGATAATCAATAAACATAATTGTCAGTCGCTACTCAACCCTTGTTGATGCTAGACTGCGCCTTTTTATTATCGTTTTGTTTTTGCGTTGCAATAACACACATACATACAAACATAATCACAAACTAAGTTTTTGTTTGTTTTTCGAGACATTTTGATTTTCTTGTTTTTCTTTTTTCAATAAAAAGAAAATAAATCAGAAAAACTTCTAATTTTTAAAATGGATGCCGACGGGGAACCTCCCCCAACACCTCTCTGGGACCCTAATAAACGCCGAGCACATTTAATGTCAAACCAAAAGCAAATATTCATAAATAATAATGGTGAACCAATCAAAAATACAAATATTTCACAGGCTTCTTCAAATGTATCTGATTTGTCAGAAAAAATTGAATACAATTATAATGCTCTACAATCGAATATTCTTTATCCACAAAATCATCAGGGCCCATTCTATGTCATTGTCACTTCGGAAACCCCAGTTAGCTCCAGGAGGAAAAATTGTGAATTGCATTTATATGCACTTTTTCAAAAGATTAACATTCCCACCACACATTGGGTACAATACCTTCCGCCTTACCTTCAACAACCTTGCTATGGCAAACTCTTTCGTTCAAAACCAACAGCTAAAAGAAATTAAATTGAAAGCTGAGACCCAAGAGCGTTTTATACAAAAGTTTTACGTTATTAAAAATGTTCCAAAATCCATTGATGGTATTACAATAAAAAATTCTATCGAAGACAACAACAATATTGATGTTATATCTGTATACAGATTTACAAGGAAAACCGAAAACAACAAAATAGAAGAGACTGAAACTGTTAAGGTAGGAATAATATGTAATGGAGTTCCTCATTCGATTTTTATGTGCGGTACTAGGGTCAAACCTGACCTATATGTATCCCCAGTACGCCTTTGAAAAACTGTGGCCGTCTTGGTCACATTGCTATACGCTGCAGATCAACTAAACGTTGTCTAGACTGTGGTAAATTCATAATATGTCCAAACCAATGCAAGGAACAAAAATGCAATGATTGCCTTACTAATACAAAATGTAAAAAACAATGCGACACTCCAAAATTTATTTTGTGCAACGGATCACAATGCCACAGAACAAGGAAAATGTTTAAGGTGGAAATCGGAAAAAGAGATTAAATCACTTATGACACTGTCAAATCTAAGCAGGAAAGAAGTTATAAAGGCATACCCTGAATCCCAAAATTATTATAACATCTTAGCTGATGGAAGCTACGACTCTCATTTTCCAACAATTAGCAAATCTACTAATCAAAATATAAGAAATTTTAATGATGAAATAAACAGCAGAATTACAAAAATAAAATATAGCAAAATAGCAGCTTCTCATACTAAAATCAACCATCCAGTAGTTAGCCCCATCACTGTTGCGCCTTCAATTCCTGTTTTTGAACATCCATCTTTTGCCAAGGTATCAGATCTGAAAAAAACCATGTCAATGTTTACAAAACAAATGTCCCAGTTACTTACCTCTCTGAACTGCACGGAAGGCTTAGACATATTGGAAAACTTCAGAAAATCCCTCGTACTAGGTCCTGCAAAAAATACAAAATATAAAATTAATTCAAATTAAAATTCTCAAACTCCAAAATCAAATTCTTATACAAACAATCAAAACTAATCATCTTTTATCATGAATGTTTTACAACATAACATTCAAAGCCTAAATAAGAATAAGAATTATCTTGAATTTTATTTGAATAAATTCAACATCGACATCTGCATGTTAAGTGAAATTTTTAATATCGACGAATCGCAAAACAACACATCTATATCCAACTATAATATTGTTTCAAAAAAGAGAAAAGACAACTACTGTGGAGTTGCCATACTCTTTAAAAAGAATATAAAGTTCAGAAAAGTACACTTCCAAACACCATTGGACATACTCATTTGCCAAACTACAAATATTTCAAACAACATAGCCATATTATCTGTGTATTTCCCTCATTCTATTAGAGCCACTGAAATAAAACACGAACTCGATAAACTATTATGCTTTCTGGATTCACGTCCTGACGTACTGATCTGCTGCGATTTTAATGCAAGACATTCCTGCTATGGAGACACCTTTGATTCACATAGAGGCAATATTGTCAAATCCTTTTTCGATCCAGCTAATTTTTATTCACTTAATGATGGAAATTTCACTTTTAAAAAACGATCTATTGACATCACTGGCTCTGTTCTTGATCTCTCTTTTACGAATACGGAGTTAACCACTTCGTGGAAAGTACAACCATACACAATTGGAGGAAGCCATCACTACCCTATAATAATTAATATTGGTATCAGCAATATCAGAAACAAACGGTTCTTAGCTAAGAAAAAGCTATTAAAATCATTAAATAGTGCAAATATTGTTCCATGCTTTGAGAAAATTAATGAAACTTTCAAAAATGAAATTAAAAAATCGACTTATCTCTTAAAAGATAACCAATGCTCAAAAGTTTGGTGGGATTCTGTGGTAGATAAAACCCACAGACTTTAGCTAGCAGCTCAAAAAACATATAACATGTGCAATAATAACATCAATGCTTTAAAACTCATTGAGGCTAACAAAGCCTTCAACACCGCTGTAAAATTTGCCAAAAGAAAAGCTTTCAAAACAAAACTTCATGATCTTAACAATGAACCAAATTCCAAGGCACTTTTTAAATTTGTTCGGGGATGTAAAAATTCTTCGATGCCAATATATAAAACACAATGGTCGTCTGAAAACGATAAACAATTTTTAATTCATCTTAGGGATCAAGTCCCTAATAATTCCCCAATACAACACATGCATTTAAAGCCACAATCGTCTTCAAGTTTTTCATATGAAGAATTTGTAAAAGTGTTGAAGAAACCATCAGCAGCTGGTGCAGATGGTGTTACTTACGAAATGGTCAACCATTTGTCACACATGGCCAAGCAGAACTTACTAAGATCTATGAATGATACTTGGAAAGATGGCAATTTCATCACAGAATGGAGAAGAATTAAGATTGTTCCCATCCCGAAGATCGGCAAAGATTTGGACATATTTGCTAATTACAGACCAATCGCGTTGATATCTGTTTTTGCGAAATTTATGAACTTAATGGTAAAGGAAAGGCTTGATCAAAATAATATCCTCCCCCAAAACTTATGCTTATAGGAAAAATCTATCTGCATCTATGTGCATAAATGATTTGCTACATAGAATAAACTACCATAAAGAGAAAGGTGATATAGTCATAATTGTATCTTTGGATGTGGAAAAAGCATACGATTGTGAAAAAAGCATACGATTGAACTTCTCGTCAAAATTTTAATTGAGCTCTCTTGTCCCAGCGATATAATACGTGGATCGCAATTTTTTTAAAGAAACGGATTTTAATGATGGGTAACGAAAGTTGAGAGATCTATAATGGCCTTCCACAAGGAAGCTGTCTAAGTCCTACACTGTTTAACATTTATACTCTCGGCTTACATGGTATAAATAACCAATCCATCAAAACTTTTCAGTTTGCGGACGATTTCATTATACTATCAGCAGAAAAGGATTTTGACGCTGCTAACAATATTCTTCTGAACAAGATGAATGAATTCATTAGGATATTAAAATCCCTTAATCTCTCTGCAAACCCTGAAAAAACTGTAGTTATGTATGTAGCAAAAGGTGCAAAAAAAAAATACCACAAATCAGAATTGAAGGAATTCCAATAAACTCTGTGGACAAAATAAAATTTCTGGGAAGACACAAAAAACAGCTTAACTATAAAAAATCATTATGATGAAGTAATTAAGACTTCCAGCACCACCCTAAATGCCTTGAAAATGGTAAATTCGCTTAAAGGTGGAATTCACCCCAATATATCTGTGAACCTTTCCCGATCGCTTTTTTTTTTTCAAAATTTGAGTACTCTATTTCTTCAATGGCTCACATGCCCAACTACGTCAATAAAAAACTAACAACGTGTCAAAACCAAATTCTACGGAAGAACTTGGGATTAACACCTTCAACGCCTGTTCACATAATTTACGTCTTAGCAATCGTTTTGCCTCCGGAACTAAGGTTGCAGTATCTAGCTGCGAAAGAGCTGTTAAAATTCAAGATGTTTCACTGGGACACTTATGAAAAATTCACGTCTTACCCAACTAATAAAACAAGTCTTGGATTGGTATACAACAAATTCAAACACATCTTCGACAAAACCAAAATATGTCCGTCTGAAATTCCAAGCGACAAAATTTCATACGCTATGAACATCTTTAATGCTGGAAAAAACTCAGAATCAAAAGAATTATTTTATAGTATATATCTTGAAAAATTAAACGAGTTCAAATCTAGCGGCACTTCCATATGGGCAACTGATGCCTCTATTATCGGAGACTCGACAGGTTGCGGAGTTTGCAACATATCATCAAATCAAAACTTTCTATTCAAAATTAACGCCAAATGTTCATCACTCATGGGCAACTTCAATGCTATTAACAAGGCTGTTGACCTCATTTTAGAACATGGTATTCAAAGGGCAGTAATCCTGACGGATAGTAAAAATGCCTGTTTGCTCCTAAGAAACAACACATCACATAATTATTTAGTCAACATAATAATCAACAAGATAAACAATTCAACTTTAAGTCACCTTTCCTTCCTGTGGGTTCCATCCCACATTGGAATCCCATCTAATGAACGTGCCGACTATTTTGCCAGACAAGCCGTGGAAGCTGGCTGTGTAATTTCGTCCAATTTAGCCGTTAAGGATGCTCGTGCGGAAATATATGAAGCCCTATGGGATGAATGGGTAAGAAAATATAGACTATTGTCGTTATCAAAAGGCAAATACTTCTCTAATTTCTTTCCATCTCCACCAAAAAAACACTGGCATGCCGAACTGTCTTTAGAACCTGTAGAAATTAAAATTATCAATAGACTCCTAGCGGGTCACTCATACTGCAAAACGTACCTGCATAAAAAGATAGACACTAATTTGTGTGCTGTTTGTAATGTACCTGAAACGGAAAATCATTTGATCTTTGAGTTCAATGAATTTCACCATCTAAGATGTAACTTCAATATTTTCAACGATTTTACCAACTTACCTGCTTTATTGAAACACCGAACAAACACCGTCATCAAGGAACTCTGTAATTTCATTACTTCAGCCAAAATTGAATTGTAAACAAAAATGATGTCATATGTCATATTCACCATGGAACTAGTTCAATTATTTAGTTACTTAAGTATTCACTAATATGTAAGCAAAAACTAGTCTTGCTATATAGGTAATATGGGTACCAATCCAACAATTACTTTTCAATAAACCAAAAAAAAAAAAAAAAAAAAAATTAACATAATTGTATTGTCACCAAATCCATAGTGTATACAAAATATCAAATTAATCGTTTGACAGGAAGAGGGTGAAATTTGAATTACTAAATTTGAACCAAGAATAAATAATAAATAAAACAAACGGGGTGAGCTAAATAAAACCGCTTAAAAGCGAAGACATTGTGATGTTTATTTTAATTTTTTTACAATTATAATTTTTGAAACGAAGTATATTTCAACTTAGAGTAATTTTTCCATTTTATGTTTAGACTTTTGACGGTAATATTAATATTGATGGTATATGCTTATGGAGAATACGGACGAGCCTCCGCTCCAAATAAAAGAAACTGTGCAATTTTTCATTATAAATGGACAATAAATGCGACATGGAACACAGCCCTTAAAAAATATTTTAGTGATACTATACCGGAACACAACGATAATCGTACTGAAAATACTAAATACTCCGTAGTGTAGCACATGACGGTACATGTCTGTCTGTCCGTCCGTCGACACGACACAGCCCAAAATTTGGCACAACAAATTTTTCCACTGATTTGTCTAAAAATTGGTACTTGTAGGTCTTAATAGGTTCTAACTTCGGTGGCGAAACATTGTATTTATAGGATCACGTTTTTATATGGCCCCCGTATAACGGTACCTACCAGAGGGCTGCAATGAGTATGATTGAATAGGCTTGATCACACAGTGGAAATACAATCAAACTCAATCAGTCGGTCAGATGTAACGTGTTCATTCGAGTTGCTCAAGCCAAATGTTGTCATCAAACATGTATTGATCGAAGTTTGGTGTTCGCAATCAAACAGCTCACATGATTTATTTATTTACGAACTTATGTTGAATTGTTCATAAGGGGTCGATCATCTATGATGAGTCTGATCGGTTTGATTCATCCTAGTTAATTAAGTGATGTGATTTGATTAAAACACAAATGTTCGAATCTGAGCGAAATCATGATTGTAACGATTGGTACAAACTATATATAATAAATAGACAATTTTTTCATTATATTTGGTTTTTGGTATGTTAGACTTCAGTGACTTCATTCAGATCAAACTAAACCACAGCATCAACAAAAATCATGTAAGAAACCGAGTGTAGTTGAATTTTTGCATACTCGTTGCAGCACTCTTGTACCTATCGATGTTCGGCATTTCGATGATTTGCCATGAAAAAAAAAATGAAATTTGTCTAAAAATTGTAAAAAATTAAAATAACCATCACAAATATTTCGTTTTTTATATCTTTTGATCACATATGCTTATAAAAAATATTTGCAACATAGTTTCAGATATTGCTGTCAAGGAATGTTAAACACGCAACTTTTTCTGATATAAGAAGTATTCTTCTGTAAGGTATAATTTGTCCTGCGACGGAAAAAATTCTTTCAGAGTGCCAACGCAACCACCTAATGACGGAGTTAGAATATATTCAAGGGTATAAACTTTTTCTTTCTCCACTGCTCTAATGGATCTATGAGTACTTTAAGTACTTGTTCAATTCCCTGATACCATCTACACTGTTGTTATCATAATTAAATATTTTATGAGTTCATCGTCAAAGGTTAATCAATTCTTAAAAATCTTGTCAATCGTTGTCTTTCGGATATTTGTAGATCATCTCCTTCATCGCTTGGCTTGGACCCCATTCTAGTTTTTAGGGTTTAAAGGCGTTGTTATTTGATATATAACTTTTGAAACATCTTGGATTATACATTCTGCATAGATAACATTTTTCCTAGACTCCTTAACGACATTGGAGCTCTGATGCAGATGTATTTTTGGTGTTCGAGGAAATTTTTGCAATCAAGCTCATTAAAATATTGCACATCACCATTTATTTGGAAATTGTCACATTATTTTCTGCCGAAACAGTAATATCATGAACAGGGTGATTGAACAGCGCCATTGACTGTTGCTAAGATACCATTGCAAACTTATGGTAACAAGTTCTTTTGTAGCTTTATTCCTGATGAGAAATAGGACACTTTGGCACATAATTTTGGCTCATCAGAAATTTTTAATACGTGCATACCTTTTGCTACCATTTTTAAGCATACAGTGCACTATACAACTTCAATATTTAAGATGGGCGCAGCCACTTAAAGGCATGGCGTATTACAATAAGATTTAAATTTAGAAATTGCATCTGTTATTTAGGTATCTGATCAATCCAGCCTGAATCCAGAAAGACGGTCGCATAATTTTGGATTGTCGACGAGATACCATGGATATCTTATCAATTGTTATGCATGACGCTTGATTAAGGACAGTGAAAATGAGTGTTTTTGAGGAGTAAACGTATTACTTTTCGGTGATCTTTAAAAATTTCTCCTATAAAACGATCAGGAACACCTGTGTGCAAAAAATTTATTCATGCTGTGTGAATTGACTGAAAATATGCGTCAGCAAGGTGACCAGACTCTTATTGATATTTTGAATGCGTTGAGATTCGGTGAGCTAACAACCCAACTTTTTAGTATTTTAATTGGAAGACTTCTTCAAGACACGAGTGGTGAGTTTGCAATAGACAAAGCGTTAAGGGTATACCCAACAAATCAACAAGTTAACGACCACAACTCTGCTGTATTGAATTTGTAAAGAAATAATGGTGCTCGCATTTGCAAAATAAAAGCGCAGGATCATCTAGTACACTTCACACGAAATGCAGACAATGTGGAAATTTGCTACTATAATACCAGGTGATATCGACAAAACTGGGGCGCCCCACGGTTTTATTTTAGTCTAATCTATGCATATCTTTATAATTCCCACGACTGTTTCTATTTTATTATTTTTTGGTTTTTAGTACCTTTATTTTAACATTTTAAACGTTTTTTACCTATTTTTATTTATGTTTTATGTTATTTAAAGATTATTTTATTGGGTAAGTGGAACTATACGAAGAATATTATTTCAGAAGAGAATAAAAAATAAAGAATTATTTTCACCATCTAAAAGAAAGTGATGTTGGCTACTACGCTTACACTCAAGAACAACGGATTATGACAATTCATACAATTTTGGAATGGTATCAGTGAAATACCGAATGTAAAGGGGGCAAAAATAGTAGAGCGAATCGGACATTCATTTCAAGATACCTGCAATCGCTTTTGCAGGTCATGATATGGGTCATAACCCCCGAATAAGGGTACAACCCGATTTCAAGTATGTTTTACATTTTAACCATATTTTTCATACTAATTTCGGCAAACGTTGGTAATTTGAGAAGAAATCATCCTTTCTAAAAATGATCACTTTTTGATATGATTTAAGCTATTTTGGGGCCTTGGCCACTTTTTTCATTTTTTGCCCTTATTTGGCACCTTTGTTTCTAAGGGGGTAGAAAACCTCTTCTCGTAATATTTTTTAATTTCCGATAGTTTGGTCCGTCTTGGTCTTGACCCCATTCATCAATTGATTTGGGTAAAAAATTGTATTTAGGCTACTGGGGTAGTTAAATATCTTACATATAATTGTTCACATATACAATTATTTAAGTATAATCCCATATTAGTGTACCCCAAGTCCACTTTCCCAACCAATGTGTGGTCTGAAAAAAAGTTGACTCTCTTGAATTTGTAACCCCAAGAAAATATTAGTTGGGAACGTAGGTTTGGGATGTACGTCTATATGAACTAAACTCCGAAAAGTTCAAACTGGGACTCATTCAGTCAGAAATTGTGTCAGAAACATGGAAAAAATTGTGAATATTAGAACATTTAGTTAATTGTCATTGAATTATACTATGATGTAAAATATGGACTATGGGCACAATTTAAACGACAAAAAAATTAATTACCATCTTACATATAAAAAAAGCTTAATAACATTTTCCATGCTTTGCATTGTTTAGTGATTTCAACCTTAGGTTTGTAATTTTGCTGATACCAATATTAATAACTATTCTAAGAGATTGTACTTTCACGAAGTAGTTCATGTTGTATTCATAAATGACAGATCAAGACCTGTACCAGTTGAGCGTTTTTAAAGATCAAGTTTCCATTATTGAGATAGAAAAAATTTTATGATTCGAAAAAAGATCTGACAATATTGCTACGATGTGAATCAAAAGTCTCCACAGCTAGTACATCAGTACTTGATTCCAGAAAGCATAGTAATATTTGGAGTTCATTTTTATTTCACTAGCTGTAACAGAATGAGGTATCTTCCTGAACATAATATTCTTTTCTAATAGCATGGCAACTCTCCCATAGTTGTCTTTTTTAACATATTATAATTGCATATGCTTGAATTGTTTTGCGATTCGGCTATGTTAAAAATTTTACTTAATACGCAGATGTCGATGCTGAATTTATTTAAATAGAATTCAAGAAATTTATTCTCCTTGTTGAGGCTTTCAATGTTGTGTTGTTATATATTCATGACAATATATTATTTGATTTGAATTGAAATTGGAGATTGGCTGTTTTTATTTGAAATAATTTTTTGTGTGTTTATACAGGACTTGGAAAGAGGGATTTTCTGAAGTAGTCCAATATGTCTAAATCTTCCGTGCAGTTCAGCGAGATAAGTAACTGAGACATTTGTTTTTTTGTAAAAATTTACATTGTTTTTTTCCATTTCATACACAGGGATTTAATGTGTAATATTGATGGTACTGGCTACTGAATGGTTGATTATGGTACGAGGAGCTGCTTTTTTGCTTTGTTGTGATTCTTTTTTTTTCTTCGTTAAAGTTTGTTATACTTTGATTAGAAGATTTACTCATTGGAGGAAATTGCGAATTGTAGTTGCCATCCGCTTCAATATTGCAATAATTTTGGGATTCTGGGTACTTTTATAAGACTTTTATAAGAGTCATAAGCGATTTAATTTCATTCACATTTTCCTTCTTCCATAGCATTGTGATCAATCCCATTGCACGAAATATATTTTGGTATGTCACATTGTTCTTGTGGTGGTAAGGCGATATAACATTTTTGTTTCTTATA